GCGGAGGAGGAGCCGCGGCCGCCGCCGCTGCCGAAAGAGGCATCTCTCTGTTCCTGTTCAACTCGAACGACGTGTCAACGGGCGCGAGCGAGCGAGCCAGCCGACCAGGCGAGGTTTGGGGGCCCGTCGTTGTTCCTCCATCTCCCGGTCGCGCTGGCTGGCTGGCTTGCGTCCCATCCACGGGGGGCTCTCGGCACGGCTCCCCGGCCTCTTCTCTCCCCCCCGGGGAGAGAGGAGGCCGAACCCAAAAGTCTTTGTCAGCCCCGCCTGGGTCACCGGGACCTACGAGGTGTGCGACGGCGCCGAGCCCAGTTTTGTGAGCAGGGTTTTTTTGGCGCCGTGGGCTACGCGTTTTCTCAGGGCGCAGGTTCTCCTCCCCTTTGAGGCCTCATTGAGTGGGAGGCGAGACACACACAAGTGTGAAACCCAGCAAAGACTCTTAACGGGGGATCACTTGGCTCGTGGGTCGAGGAAGACCGCGGCAAGAAGCGAAGTTTTGGTGGCTATCGCAATTCTCCCGTGATTCCATCGACGTGTCGAACGCACATTGCGGCGGCCCTGTGCCTTCTTCGAAGGACGGCTGCCACCTTCCCTCGAGTGTCGTGACGTTGCCTCCCGGGACACAGTACGGACGGCTGCGGGTGTGCTCAACACCCCGTCTGACCATGCTGACGGCGGCGGCGGCTTCTGCGGCCGCTGCTGCCGTCGCGGTCACGACGATCTTCCTCCCGCCCCCCTTCTGTGAGAGGGCTTTCTCTGAAAGCCCTCTCACGATGGTCGGTGATCGATGCTGACGCATTGTGATTTCTGCCCAGTGCTCTGAATGTCAAAGTGAAGAGATACAACCAAGCGCGGGTAAATGCGGGAGTAACTATGACTCTCTTAAGGTAGCCAAATGCCTCGTCATCTAATTAGTGACGCGCATGAATGGATTAACGAGATTCCCACTGTCCCTACCTACTATCTAGCGAACCCACAGGCAGGGGAACGGGCCTGCAGTTAACGGCGGGGAAAGAAGACCCTGTTGAGCTTGACTCTAGTTTGGCTTTGTAGAGAGGCACCTGAGGTGTAGCATAAGTGGGAGGTCGCTCACGCGGCCGACGACGAAATACCACTACTCTGGTCGTCTCTCTACTTACTCGGTGATGCGGGAGCGGGAGGCGTGACGGGGTTCGGGTCCCGCGAGCGGGGCGGAGCGCGGCTTCGGTCGTGTCTCTCCCCCTCCGGCCCGTCTTCCCTATGCCTCTACCGATTTTAGACTGCAAGTGACATGAACAAGAGCGGCCGCCTCCCCGGGGGGCGAAAGGGGCTTCTCCGCGCGGGGGCGGTCGTCGCCGCCGCTCGCGGCGCGTCGACCCGTTCCGAGGACAGAGCCAGATGGGGAGTTTGACTGGGGCGGTACATCTGTCAAACGATAACGCAGATGTCCCAAGGTCAGCTCAGCGTGGACAGAAACCACGTGTAGAGCCCAAGGGCAAATGCTGGCTTGATCCGGACTCTCAGTACGAGCACGGACTGCGAAAGCACGGCCTAGCGATCCTTTTGACTTTTACGAGTTTTAAGCGAGAGGTGTCAGAAAAGTTACCACTGGCTTGTGGCGGCCAAGCGTTCATAGCGAGGTCGCTTTTTGATCCTTCGATGTCGGCTCTTCCTATCATTGTGAAGCAGTTTTCATTGTTCACCCTCTAATAGTAAACGTGAGCTGGGTTTAGACCGTCGCGAGACAGGTTAGTTTTACCCTACCGTTAAATGTAAATTATAACTAAAATTCAGATTGAAAATATATACAGAAACGTACTATAAACTATAAATGTAAAAAAAAAAAAATGCAGAATCCACCTGAAATGAAAAAGTTGCTCGCCATTTTTCAGCTGAAGACTGCCCGGAAAACTATTTTTTTTTTACCACTATTACAAGGCGGACCGAGTTTCGCTGACGCCACCTGGGTATAGTTCATTTTATTATAACAGTAGTGTCTTAATATAGTCTGCTTTAGGCTGTGTCCCCAACAACTCCGGCACATCAAAGTAATCTCATCTGTCTGGCTTTCATTCTTGCAATGTGGTTCCATCTGAACAATGTCTATTTCATATCACACCACCGGCGTCATTCTGTACAGTGGACGATGTTTGGAAAGATGAACTTCTGGTCCAATAATCCAGCTGTTTTGTCTTACGACTTAAGAGAATGGGTAATACAGACCAGAAAGACTAACTACGACTATCACATGTTAGAACTCAGGACCAAATTAGGCGTATAACGTTGGCTAAACTGCGAGGCATGAATATATAATATCCCGTTTTCGTTCAGAGGTGGTGAGGCCTGTTGTTGTATCGACCTTGCTCTGAAAGACGTTGATGGTCAGGTCAGCACCATGAGCTTTTGCTCCATAATTCACTGGCAACCACGTAAAGTGTTTTAGAACAAGACATTGCATTCATGACATCAACATAGATTGGAGAAAAAATAGTTAGATATCCACTTTTTTACAACTCTTGCTCCTTTTTTTAAAGTTTATGCACAAATCTAGTAGATTTCTTCAGTTACATTAGTATCGTAATTTCTAGTACTATGTTGTGATATTGTAAATGAGCATCAGCTGCTTGACATAGGCATGACAACGCATTAGAACTCCATCTTGAGTAAGGACATGGAGCTGGAATGTCAGGAACCGGCATGGTATTGGAACCTTTCAGTGAATAAAGAGTTGCTTTTTGAGTGCAGTTTGCCGGTCACGTCCTCTTCTGAAAATGAGAGTAGTATATGCTTAAAGCCACAAAAGCAAATGGTTTATAGCAGGACCAATCTCAGTAAAGGAACACACACAATGGCAAGAAAGAAGAGTGAGCCAAATAGAGTTATCTTCATAAGCAAAACCTTCACGGCTACACCCAGGGAAGAACAAGACACAGATGGGAAGATCGCCTTTGCTTGTCAGTGTGTGAGGCGCCCATGATAATTTTTAGAATAGATGAAAAATCCCATCTATGGATATAGACGGCACAAGACGAAGACAAGGCATAAACTCTACAGATTTTCGAGGAAATATTGATACCACCATTTTAAGCGCGACCATTCCTCAACCACAATCAGTCACAAAAGTGTAATATAAGGGACCTATCCAGAGGGACAGCGAAGTAAACCATGGCGCGCAGAACAAGCGGAAATTTGTACTTACCAATAAAGGAAAACCAATAATCTGTAGAAATTAATGTATAGGGGCAGGGCAGATGGAGAATATAGGATAATTAATCGGACTGAACAGCATATGTTGGGATTTGGCAATTTATAATATTTTCCAGTCCCATGTATCACTCCTTACGCTCCCAAATAGTGGCCGCCATTCATTTATTTGTCCACTATTCATCCAAAACTACAATTGAATCAGCTCTGGAGAGGAACAGATTATTCTTAAAGCTTTCGCAATGTCTGAAGGTGTCTGAAGAAAAACGTAAACAAGTATCAACATACAAGAAGTTTAAAGACTTGCGAAGTATGAGAACAGATGAAGGAAGTTCCATCTGTAGCCTTTTGCTCACTCTGCCGGCCAGTGTCGACTTAGACTGAATAAAGAAGTTCTCTGAAGTTCTCCTGTAGCATTTTGAGTGCAGTTTGCCGGTCACGTCCTCTTCTGAAAATGAGAGTAGTATATGCTTAAAGCCACAAAAGCAAATGGTTTATAGCAGGACCAATCTCAGTAAAGGAACATTAAACAACTCCGCTACACAAATATTTCTGTATAAGTATACATTCCAGTATAACAGGTATTAGTAATTATCATGGTGGTGAATGCTTCTTATGGTTAACCTGCTCAAAGTAATTTTTAATCATTCAATTTTAATCTTATCCTTCTCCTAATGACGGTTTTCTTTTATCAATCATCAGTAATGGACAATTACAAATGCAGAAAGTATAGATCATCTTAATTTTCTCGTAAGTTAAGTTTAAGCCCTTTAACTCTATCCTTATTCTTTTAATTCAGTTTTTGGGTTGTATGATTTCAGCACTTCAGCGAGTATAGTTCAACATGTGAGCTATCATTCTACAAAGAAATATCACTGGACGACTTTACTTGAACGCTTCGAGAGGACGAGAGTCTTCATTGGTGGCCTTTTTTGGAAATGTTTCTCTCCCGCCATTGGGTCATTTAACTAATTTTCTGCTCCTTGTCCTCCTCCCCTCTTCCCTACTTCGTCAATATCCTCCTCCATTTCTCCCTTTTCTTCGCATTTGTCCTTCCTTTCTCTCTCCTCGTCCTGTCATTCTCTCTCTTTTTCCTCTTTTTCCACTCCCTCATTCCAAACTTTCTTTTAATCTGCTTTGTTCTTCCTCTCCCTCCCCCTTCTCCCTTTCTTCCACTTGTTTCTCCCTTTCTTCTTCGTCCTGCCTTTCTCCTCATTTGTCCTCTTCTCCCTGCTCTTCCTCTTCGTTTTCCTTCGTTTTCCATATTTCTTCATCTTATTATCTGTGTTTAAGTCCAAGTTTTTTTTTCCTTTCTTATTGTCTTATATGCGGTATTGAATTTCATAAAATAATTGCCATCCTGCAATCACAACCCCTTCGTCGTTTTCATTATACATCAGGAATTAAGCTTCAGTAAAACAGCGTCATGTGGTTTTATACTGTACTGCAAACATGGTTCAGTGGGAGAGCTGCTTGCCCCTGTGTGTTGGACTAGTCTAACGGGGTATTTCTCGGATTCAGTAAAGACCAGTAAGGACTCTTGTATGCACATTTATTCGTACAAATGTTTTAAGAAAAATGCAAAAAATAGAGTAGAAGGGATAAATGAGAGATAGAGAGAGAGGGGGGGGGGGCTTCGAAGAGGGGAAAGTAGAAATACAAGGAGGCACTAAAAAAAAAAAAAAAATAAAATCAATGAGAAGGGAGGGTAACATAAAACATGAAACATAACCACAGATAAAACTAGCCTCGTATTTCATTTTTATCCGAATGAAAATAATAGAAATACAAGGAGGCAATAAAAAAAAGGAAAAAAAATGAGAAGGGAGGGTAACATAAAACACGAAACATAACCACAGATGAAAATAATAGAAATACAAGGAGGCAATAAAAAAAAAAAGGAAAAATAAAATCAATGAGAAAGGAGGGTAACATAAAACATGAAACATAACCACAGATAAAACTAGCCTCGTATTTCATTTTTATCCGAATGATCCCTAGAGAAGTCGGACTCCAGACGAAACGGACCGCTTCTCCCGGTCTCTCACGGAGCCTTGTACGAATGAGCGCCTTCGACTTCGATGGATTTTCTTATCCGCGACAACGCTTTCGGAAACGGAATTGCCGGATCCTACACAAGGGAAAATAATTATGAATGAGTCAAAAGAAGTGAAGCAGCGCTGTCTTATCTATCAGTTGTAATATTAATGAACCTCATTGGACATTAAAAAAAAAAAAAAAAAAAAAAAAACACTTACATCGTCCGTATCCCCCGCCGAAGCCGCCTGCAAAACAGTCAAAGAAAGTAATTTCTAGTATTTATATCCTTGTTGTGTATGTTTATGTGCATGTGCGTCTATAAACTATTCCTCCATAGTGTGTATACACCATATTACCATTAGAAATAAGACGGCCATGTCCTTAGCATACGGACTCACCTCCAAAGCCCCCGTGTCCGAACCCTCCACCGAAGCCACCGCCAAAGCCTCCGTGGTGACCTGGTGACCCCGTGGTGACCTCCGGGTGACCCATGATGTCCTCCGTGGTGACCCCCATGGTGACCTCCGTAGCAGCAAGGCTCAGACTTGGCACTGACCGTAGTTGCCACGACCGCTAGTGCCAGAAGCAGAGCTAGGAACCGCATCTTCAAAAAAAAAAAAAAAAAAAAGATTGAGATGAACAAACCTTTACATAATCTTTTCTTTCATAATGTAGATTTTAAGTGATAAACGCTGATGATAGCTAGTGCCAGAAGCAGAGCTAGGAACCGCATCTTCAGAAACAAAAAATGATATGAACAAACTTTTACATAATCTTTTCTTTCACAATGTAGTCTTTAAGTGATAAACCCTGATGATAGAGTCTTAATGAAGTTTTGTGGTTCCTTCTGCCCCCGAAGTGACGCTTTGCAAACCACAATACCTTGAGAATCTGGAAGACCTTCTGCACGGCGAGTACTAGCGTCCCTGAGGAAATCTCGTGGGTT